AACACATAACCAAGCACACAGAGAAAAGGACTTAAGAGCTTAAGTCAAAGCGCATCAGAGAACTTTGGGACAACTTCAAGTGGCCTACTGTGTATGTGAATGAAATACTCAAAGAGATGGGGATAAAACTATTTGAATAAAAGTTGTCTCAGTTCTCTAGAGCTGCTGTAACAGATATACCACACGTGGGTGGATTTAGTAATAGAAATCTGTTTTCTGATGGTTCAAGAGGCCGGAAGTCTAAATTCAGGGTACCAGCTCGAGGGGGAGTCTGTTTTTTTTCTGTCTGCTCTAGAAGAAGTTCCTTGTCTCTCAGAGTTTGTGCTCCTGAGCTAGGGTCATGTGACTTGGCATCTCTCTTCCGGCATCCCTGTTTGCTAGCTGGCATTTCCCCTCCTTCATGTCTCAAAAGAGATTGACTCAAATTACAGCCTACACAGATCCGGCCTCATTAACAGCAAAGAAAGACAACCCATTCCCAAATGGGGTTATGACCACAGGCACAGAGTTTAGGATTGACACCACATATTGTGAGGAGACACAATTCAATCTATAACAATGGCCAAAAAATCCTAAATGTACTAAAAATTATAAACCCACAGATGGATGAGGTAAGTCAAGTGTTCAAAATAGGTGAGAGAACAAACAAGATGGCGGATGGGGTGGAAGTGCAGTGAGAGCTCTGTCAGCAACAACACAGAATACTGGACAAAGCAGGCTCAGGGGATGGTGCCAGGACTCTGAACCACATATAAAGGAATATTTACAAAGTTGGAAGGCTTACAGCTAGGGGAATTTGTAGCAGAAGCAAGAAATCCATTGCTTTCTAATTCAAGACACTCAGCTGCTCCAAGAGCCACCATCTTGGGCGAGATCAAACAGAGAAGGATCAGAGCAGCCATGGATGCCTGACAGAACCACAGAGATAAAGGAAGAAAAGTGAAAAGGGAAGCCTATCTCCTGATCACATCTACCTGGAAGCAATCAGAAAGCATAAAAAATATCAAAATACACACCTATCTAAGTATTAAGGCCACCTGAATATGCCCAAAAAACAGAAACAGATGACCATATCAGCACATGTCCAGAACAAGATAAAATGACTGAGGCAAATGAGCTGGAAGTAGACCTACACTCCATACTGGAAGATGGGCAGGCTTTGGAAATGCCTGAGAAGGAATTCAGAAAAATGATTAT